TCCTCCTCCTCCTCCTTCTTCTTCTTCTTCCCATTTATATAGCCACTTCACCAAGTGGAGAGAAGCCTAAAGGCACAATATAGTTTGATTTCTCTTAGAGGAGCAAACTCTGTAGGTTTTTAGAGGTTAAATGTAGGAACATTTAACACACACACCCTCTTTCTGCTTCTCTCAATTCAAGTGGTTTTCTTCTTCTAGTTATATAGTGGGCTTAAACCTCCTTTGCTTGCTGATAGATGTCCATTTCAGGATGAAAACGTACAGCTCTGTAAGATAGAATTTTCCCCATCATTATTAAAATAAATTAAGGAATTGTTTAAGTCAATATATTGTAGGAAGGTGCAATGTGTCAGTACCAATGACTAGTCATACAGTTTACTTCCTTTTTTTCTCTCTCTGTCCTCCAGAATGTCAAAGGAGACACAGAAATATATGGTGCAGTTGTCAACCATGTAAGTCATATCCAATCTGTCATCATTTCCAAATATTTGTCACTTTAAAAAAAAGTATGTTGCCTTTTGGTCTTTGGGATTTCTTAAATCCCGCCCTGGCTTTTTCCTCAAAGAAAATTCCATGTCTGAATGAGCTGTGCATCCTGTCATACTGTATCTCCAGAATGCTTCTACAGTCTACAGTGGTAGAACATTGGCGTCTATGGATCTGTCACATGAAACACATTCGCAGATAGGAATTACAGGAAATAATCAATCTCTGCAAAGCTTAATTTCAAAATGTGCAAATAATAGCTATTATCTCCCTTCGTTCTAGGGTCCTCCGGGCCCCCCAGGAAATCCTGGTCCTCCAGGCCCTCCTGGGCCACCTGGTGTCCTTTATATCAATGTAAGTTAACTCTCCTATTTAATCCTGCCAACCCTCGGCTATTCGGTCTTTTCCTCTTTGATGGATTTTCTCTGGAACGGAATGGTGGTTTGTTGGAGGACAAGGTTACAAATGGAAGATGCTTAGATACCTTGTAAAATTCTGTGAACAAGAAAGAATCCTTCCCTCCACTCCTCACCCCCTTGTGATTTATAGAATCTTCTAGTGTCAATGAGGCAATAAAAGCTTGTCTCATTGCTATTATTTTGGCACAATGTTTAGATAACTGTATAAGATGCTATAACTCACTATGGCACTGTTTCTCAACTTCAGCAACTTTAAGATATCTGGGCTTTAACTCCCAGAATTCCCGAGGCAGCAGGCTGGCTGGGGAATTCTGGGAGTTGAAGTCCACACATCTTAAAGTTGCTAAAGTTGAGAAACACTGCCCTATGGGGATCCTATCTCAAGGCAGAACAATTATACATCAATGCCTTACTATCTGGAAGCACTCATCGTATGCCACGTTATTAGGGGCAGAGGGAAAATCAAGCATTTTATGGAAAACTAGAAATCCAGCTCTTTAGCTATTTTCAGGGTTCATTAAATCTTACTCATAGTGATAATTCATACCATTGGTTGCTGTTAAGGAACACTGGCATCTTTTGGAAATGGAGGCAATTTGGGCACATAAGCAGTGAATAAGAGAGAAGGAAAACCCCTTCATTGCTTGCTCTTGCATCTGTTTTCATCTGCTATGGAATCCCAGAGAGACATTTATTTTCCAGTATGGGGATCAAGTAGTACCATCCACAGGAGAAGGCTAGTCTCCTATGAGAGATGAATGATAGGAATATCGAAAAGCTCTTTTGCCTTTGAGGATTCAAACCTGCATACAGTGGGACTGACCTTTATGAGCAGAACAAAAGAATGGATCATAGTTTCCCTTTAAAGGTAGATAATATTTAAAATACAGAAGGAACGTGCTGCTCAGCCCATGTCAGAATGACTAAGTTCTTAGTAGCTCAGATCCAAAGTTGAAATGAAATAGGAAGTTAATTAGTACTTTAGGAAATGGGAATGTCTCTCTTGTTCGGAAAAACTTAATAAGGAAATGGGGGGGAAGGAAAATATCTTCTTCTTTGATTTGTATGCTTTATAACAGCTAATTGTACCTTTCCAGAGAGTGTACCCAGTCCGACCCAGGCCACATTGCAAGCAGCCGGTGAGTTGATTGAGTCATAAAGTTGCCTCATATCATGCAAAGGCAGGTACCCTGTAGGTTCCCCAAAACATTGTTTATTAAAGAAGGCCAATAAGATCTATCTGAGAAACAAACAATAAGAACATGTCCTGCACAAAACTTTCAAGCAACGGCAGTTGATCTGGAGGTGGCAACCTTGATAGTACATTGAGGTACTTCTAGATGGACTTCTAGTCCCACCAATTCAAAGATAGTGAACAGTTCTTCCATGTTCCCCTCCTTACAGGATTTTCTGTGATTACACAAAGTAACATTGTCTGTACCCCCATCCCAATCCCTTGGACAATTCCACACACAACAAAAATCTTACTTGAGGTTACCCTGAGGTCCTAGCAGCTGATAATTCTCTTCTGCCAAGTCTGCCCATATGTTTTACCAACTGGAGCAAGAAGCTTCTTTGGGAGGGTAGAGAAAAGTTTAGCATAGTAAAGAATATAGGGAGAAGAATTAGCCCTTCCCCCTATTGTTGTTTCAGTCTAAGTGCCTTGCCAATAGTTCTGCTGTCAGAACTCTCATACCATCTCTCAACTGACTTTTACAATACCTGTAGCACAGACAGTCCTCTACTTATGAACTTTCGAGTTACGAACTTTCGCCAATACGAACAAACCTACAGTAACTCCAACAATTAAAGTCCCAGAAGGAAGGTCCCAGAGATTTATGGCACACATCCATATGCCTGAGTGTATGTATGCGGCGCACCATAAACTTCCAGGCATACATATGCACGGCACTGTGGTTGGACTTACAAACAAAATGGACTTACGAACAGCCTCTTGGAACGTCACCTGTTCATAAGTAGATGACTGTCTGTATCTGGAATTATGATTGGTAGCGTGTGACTTGGGTTTTTCTCTACTATTCCAAGATTCCTTAGATGTAGAAGAGACATTTATGTAAAATATACCTTTAAACTTCATTTGGCAAGTGTAATAAAGTTACAACAGCCAAAATAAATAGGAAAGGCTGGTTCTTCGTAAAAATTAATTCTGCTGTTCCTAGATTCCAAGAAGCTACAAGGGACAAAATGAGGTTAAATAACCTCTTGCTCAATGGGAAAAAGCAAACTAAAAAGTGATTTAATCAATAGCTCCAACCCTGCACTGAGAAAGTATTGCTGCTCACTGGGTTATACATATAGCTTGACTAATATTTTCATTTCTTTATTACTGAATGTATATCTCACCTTTCTGCTTATTCCAGTACTCAAGGCAGCTTACAACAAAAATACAAACAAAACAAAATTAATACAATTAGAATCAACATTTTAGAAGCCATTATAATAATTAATTGTTAAAAGCTTGGTGAAAGAAATATGTCTTTTATATATGTGTGTGTGTATACATAAATTTCATTAAAAGTTTTAAAAAAGAAGATAAAAACTAACAAAAACGAATATAACATAAAGAAAAAAAGAAAGACAAAGAGAAAGACAAAAGTGCAAAAAGAAAAGAAGAAAAGAAATATAAAGGAAAAAAGAAATAAAAAAGAAGCTTCCAATTTTCTTTGCAGCAAATACAAGTATGATTACAAAATAATCTTACTCTATGGTTACAAAAAGAAAAGCTCTCTTTTTCTCTATTATCTTTTTTTTCTTCATCATCAAACCCAGAAATCATCAGTTCATTTTTTTTCTGTTTCATGCAAAAAGCCTATAAGGGGTTTCCAGTCAGACATAAATGTAGATATTGTCTTTTCTTTAATCAGGGAAATCAATTTAGCCATCTCTGCAAGCTCCATCATCTTTACCAACCACTCCTCCATTGTGGATAGTGCCAAACCTTTCCACCTTTGAGCATATAATAATCTCACTGCAGAAAGAAATATGTCTGTACAATCTTTCAAAATATTAGGAGCCATTCCCCCTGTGACGTAGCATCAATCTCCTCTCTTATTTCTTCCAGGTGAACCAGGATCCATGTTTGGATTCAGGTACGATCCTATTCCTCTTTGTAATTGAAACAGAAATATATCCAAATTTTAGTGTGCAAATGCCTTGCATGACTTCCTCAGTTTTTCCTAATCTGGCTTCCCTCTGTTGGCAACCTATCAATCCTGCAATCCGTAGGCCTGATTGATCTGATGTTTTCTCTGGCTATGCAGCCTACTACACCTATCGTTCCTAGGTGAATTGTCAAGCTTGAGTTACAACAGAGAAGTAGAAGAACATAGGTACAAAACAGGTTCAAGTTACTCAAGGGCAGCCTGACTTGGCATTGGCAGGCAGTTAAAGGGAAATGTTGCCGTCCTTGCTCAGAGTATTTGTGGGGAAAGATGAGCTGCTTCCTGCCCTTACGTACCCTCTTCTGTTCCAGGTTGGCATGAATTTAGTGTTCAGGAAGTGTTTGGTCCCCAAGCAGTCCTAATATATCTGTAGGAAAGAGGGCAAATTCCTGGTTCTTGTACAGCAAAATATTTATATTCTGGGAGGGAGGGAGAGAGGGAGGGCATGTTCATTCAAACTTGCTTTTGTGACGCAGATACAGAGCTGCCCCTGAAGGATTCTTCCTACAGAAGCCAGAACGGATATAAGGTGTGTTACTGCCATGAGTTTCTCCATTTTGATTTATCTCCCAAACTCAGGCAGAGATGGGCAAATATCTGGGGCTACAGGCTGAACTTTTGTTATTTTCTTTAAAACTGGCTTCTGGGAGCTATACGGAGGTTTGGCTATGATAGCCAGATGTCATCAGGGGGTGGCAGTTGCATTGGTTACCCATTTATTTTCTCTTGATTTTTTATAAGATGGTGGAGGAGAGGCTACAGAAAATAGGTGGCTTATTGCACATATTTTGCTATTTTAATTGTAAAAATAAATTAACGTTTTCAGTACTGACATTTACCATTTTGTCATATTTCAGTGGCATGATCTTGGGGCACTCTGGCCTAGGGTAAAAAAAATAAATACATGCAGGATCCATTTTCATAACCATCTCCCATATATCTGCAGTGGGCAACCACTTCTCTATTAAAGTCCATATTCTTTCAGGAATAAGATCATGCTGGGGTTGCACTGATATATGCAATTTGTCTGAACAGTGCTGAATGTTGGTGGAAATAACCATTCTCAAACAGATAGCACTTCTTTAACTTTCAGACACCCTTCTTTTTCTCTCTTCGTCATGTTCTCTTTTTTGAAGGTCTCTCTCTTTCTCTCTCTCTTCCCCCCCCCCCCCAAGCAATAGATGCAGGGAAGGAACAGATAATCCAACATAATCCAAGAGACACACACAGCCCTAGGGCCAGATGCTAATTTCTTCCATGCACATAGGATTAAATATTTCTGGTGACAAGCTGTGGCTTCCAGTCAAGCTTGTCATTTGGCACGTCTCCTGTATATTAAACCCTGCTATTGAAAGTAAGGGTGCTTTTGTAGGAAAATAGCTTAGAAATCAGCCTTCTATACTTGTCTCCCTCCACTCAAACACTCTTCCTCCTCATCCCATCCTATCCCATCCCGAGTATTCAGTTTCCTTGGCTGTATCCTTCTATTTTTTTTAAAAAAAATTGTCTTTGTATTTGTTTTGAAACAATGAATAAAGTTGTTGTTTCCAAAGGAGTTTGTAATGACGAGATTCAGGAGATCAGTTAAAGCAAGTTAATGTATACAGGCAGATTAATGTGTACAGTACAGTAGAGAGAGCTGCTTGGACAGTTGGACAAAGGTGATAGTGACTGCTTTGCATATCTCTGTGGAGAATCAGTTTTACCATACATGCATAAAGGAATAATTCTTTAATTAAAAAGAGTGCTGTTAGATCATTGATCTAAATACATATAAGAAAATGTTCTTTCTACTGCAAATCATAAATGGAGAAAAGGTAGGCAGAAGAGAAGCAAAGTTAAGCTCAAAATATTAAAATATTAAAGCACATTTTAAAGAACCTGCTTGGTGTAGTGGTGAAGGCACCAGGCTAGGAACCGAGTGAGTCCTAGTCCTGCCTTAGGCACAAAGCCAGCTAGGTGACCTTGAGCCAGTCACTCTCTCTCAGCCCTGGAAAGGAGGCAATGGCAAAACCACTTTTGAAATCTTGCCAAGAAAACTGCAGGGACTTGTCCAGGCAGTTACCAGGAGTCAACGCTGACTTGAAGGCACCGGGGAAAAAAAAGCATTTTTTAAAGTGTATGCAGGTGTACAAAACAATGTGTGCTCCAAGGGAAGCAATACCTTTCCCAAACCACTTTCCCCAATATCTTTCTCTGAATCTTTTTGTCTGTTCATCAGGCCTCGGACTAAGACTGCCTCCAGAACAACCTTTTCTTGTGCAATTTTCATTACAGTAATTTCATGAAATATCCCGGCAATATTGTCATCGTGTGGTCATCAATCAATATTTTTATTCTCTTTTATCTTATTTTTTCTCTTGATAATCTGTTTAGGCAGAAAGAACCAGATTAGAAATACTTCCCTTCTCTGCTCACTCCCTTGAATATCCCAGTTCTTGTGTGCATGTGCTCAAATGTTTAATATACTTCGATGCACCTATTCTTTTTTCAATGTTTTAAAAAAAATCCCTTTTGAATAGATCTTTAATTGATACAAACATTGGCCCACATTGCTTACTGTATATAAAAGAAGAAAGAATATATTGTCTTCTTTCAAATTACTGTATACTATTTGGATAAAAAAAAAATCTCCAGTTTAAAACTGCATGCTCCCTGTTTCAAAGATGGTGTTTGTATTATGCATTTAGGACTAAACCTTAGGATAAAAGTTCAGGACCTCACAGTTCAGATATCCTCCAATCGATCAAACAGATCCAGCATCCTGAATTGATATAGACCCATCAGGGCTGATGATATTTACCATGTTATTTTTTTACTCCTTCTTTTAAAAAGATGGGAGCATCCATCTAGATATGTACCATGCTTTGTTACAGATGCTTATATTGTTTTTATTATAAAATAATGATTTTCTATAAAAGATAAATATAGTTGTCCAAGATGGTAGCTGCAACACTTGCAAGTCAGAGAGATGTTGTACCTTTTAGGAATAGGTTATAGCTCTATCAAACATCAAAATTGTCTTACTAATCCAAAAACATTTACAAATATTTCTCAGTACAGGCTAGATATGATCCAGTTATATTTTTATTAAAAGAAATGTGCTGTCTTTTCTGCTTTCCTTTCAGCACTCTACCTGGATCTTCAGTTCAAAAGAGATGATGTTGAAATCCACTTCCTCCATTCCTGAAGGCAGTTTGGTCTACATCACTGAAGGGGCTGAAGCTTTCTTCAAGACCCCTAAAGGATGGAGCAAACTTCTGGTAGGAGCCATTAATTAATTTAGTTAGACTAAATTAATTAGTCTACTAATCCCCTTTAGTTTAAAGGGGATTAGTAGAATTTGGTGCAGTATTTAAAGATTATAGAATTACATTATTGGGTTTGCTTTCTTTCCTATTCAGACATCTGATTGGAATTGTGGATTACAGGATGCTGAACTAGATAGGTATTTAGGCTGATGCAGCTGACTTCCTATGTTCCATATTATAAATTGAGAAATATTGTTTTCATTTTTTCAAGGCAGATTAACTACTGAATTTATCAGACACTGGACTTTCATGATAGATCTTAGCTTGCTTACTTGAACTACCTGGCAAGGCTGTTAAATTTTACATTTCTTTCAGTTTAATCTTAAATGAACACTCTATGTGTTTCCTTCTTTATCAGATGGAGGATTCTGAGTCTCTCTTTGCAGCTGATGACCCTTTGGGGCCTATGGAAAAGAATCAGGTAAGGAATTTTCCCAGCATTTTATGTCGTGTCAGTGCCTGCACAATAGTGTTGTTAGATCAGTGTTGTATTTTAGGAATTTGCTTTGGTACAGCAATGGCAAGAAATGGCTTGCAATTCTAAACTTTGCAGAGGGCCATTTAGGTGACATCTTTGAGAAGAAAGTTTGATAATGGTAAAGGTTTGATAATGGTATGCACATGTTTACTGTGTAATCTTTGGGGTTATTTTATCTTAAAATGTGACTTTGTTAGTTGTTTTGAGGAGGCTTTGCCTTGGAAGGTATTATACAATATTTTCAGCAAAAATAATAACAAATGGTTAAGATTAAGTTATACAGCTCCATGGGTTGGGGCATGACTTCTTATTGTTTGAAGGATTTCATCCACTTAATAAAAGCCCGAGGGATAGCTATACAGCTCTCCTTAAGACCCAATGTGACTGAGTTGTTGCCATCTCATCTTTTAGGTACTCTTCTCAGAGCTGCGTACTGAGAAAAGAATTGAATGGCAGGCAGGGAACCATAGCTCATTACAATCTTAGCATTTATTCATTCTAAATATGTTTTTAGAAGATATTTTATATGTCATATTTGCCTAGTTGATTTATGGTGGTGACATTTCACTAACATTTTATGAAATGTTAAAAGATAATCCTGAATATTCTAAGTCCTTGGATTGAAAAATTGTGGAACACAGAAAGTTAATGAACGTCCTCTTAGTTTCTTGCTTGGTAGCTCCACAGGATGAAAGATCAGCAAATTATATTTTATTTTCCTAGGATAATTCAATTTCCTATTTATAATATGGTAAATCTGACCCAAATGATGACCACTTTCTAATACCAACTCCTGCAACATCCTTTTTAATATAAAGACTTGCTAAAGTTTCCCATTACAATCTACAATCTATTTTCATATCTGGGATATTGAACGCCATGTCAAAGAAATACTGCAAATAATCGACTGCTGTTAAAAGCATATGTGCTGCTGAAATTAGCATGATTTGCCCTTTAAACTGAGCAAAGGCACAGGTATAAATTAAAGGAGAGCTAGCCAGTGATAGAAAGATGTTCTACTATCTATCTCACTGGGTGCTGGGACCATGAATCCTGCAGCCCCAGTGTTTTCTTTCCCAAACAGAAAATAGATTGATTATTTTGATTCATTGATTCATTCTGACTCTCATCCAATATAATAGTGAGTAGCTGTGGTAGAGATAGTAATGTGAGGCAGACTAAGAGAAGTGATCTGTTAGCTTCTGCCACGTGTTGCCATTGCTTTTTTCTGACAACTGCAGTGAACAGTGAAAGAATTAAGGGCTGCTCAATTGGGTGGGTTTTGTGTTCGTATCTTATTATAAAGAATTGATCAGAAGGTCTATAAATCTTGCAAATAAAGAATAATATAGTAAGCCTTCTCTCTAGGTCCAACTTGATGAAAGCCACGTAACAATTCCGATTACACCAACTATCATCTCCCAGAGGGTTCCTGCAGTAAGTTCAACAGGAGTCAAATCATTGGCACAACATTAAAAAAAAAACAAAAAAAACTCATATACCATCTATGACAAAGAATCTAGTTCATGATACGAGTTAAGATTTTTATTTGTTATAGGACAACCAGAAACTTCCAAAAACAAGCAATCATAGCCCATTCAGAAAAACAGAAGCTGCTTTGAAATGTTTTTCTCCATTCGGTGCCCTTTAGATGTATTGAAAATATAACCCCCAGAATTTCTAGTGAGCATGTTAACTAAAAATTTTAGAAGCTGGAGTCACTACATATTTGGAGGGTATCATTTTGGGTAAGCCTTATATAGCCCAATTGCCTTTGTTGCCCTTCCTAGCCGGCTGGGATCAAGGAAGTCAGGGGAGTTAAGTGCTTATTACAAGTCTACAGATCAGACTGGCAGTTCATGGAATTGCCTACATGAAGAATGGGTAAATATATTTGTATACACTTCATATCTATCTTTAATGCTATAGTCTTGGTGTGTTGTAAAAGCAAGCCATTGGACACATCAGCATGGCAAGTATAAACCTATATGGATTTCATTTAACTGCCATAGTTTCCCAAGAAAACCTGGGAACAGCAGTTTTGGTGTGTGGGATAAATTGTGGATTTTTTTTTAATTGACTCCTTGCTTGGTAGCGATATATGATTCAAATTGGCTTCAACTGCTAAAATAAAAACAGCTCATTGAAGATAAGGAATGAAGTTTGATGGGCATCAGCTACTCCACCCTGTTGAATCAAACTCTATTTAAATATAATGTACTTGTCTGGTTTTCTTTCACTTTCCCAGCTCCACCTAGTGGCACTAAATGTCCCTCTGACCGGTGACATGAAAGGGATTAGTGGTGTGGACCTACAGTGCTATCGGCAGGCACAAGAGGCGAAGCTGAATGGAACTTTCCGGGCGTTCCTGTCCTCAGATACTCAAAGCCTTATCTCAGTTGTGAAGAAAACAGACAGGAATCTGCCAGTTGTTAACCTTAAGGTTAGTAACAGACTCTATTGGCTCTTGAACCAGTACATCCTTCTTGGGTAGAAGTAGGCACATCAAGATTGCCTTATGATTGCCCAACTAATTAAAATCAAATCAAATCAAAGTTTATTGATCAGCCCTAAGGCCTGATCAAAATAAAAATTAAACACTAAATATTAATAAAACTCTTTACAAAATTAATATAACAAACAGATTAAATAAAATGTGAATAAAAATAGAGTAAATAAGTATAAGTAGGTATACATATAAGTGAAAATACAAATCATACTTCCATGTCACCCCAGCAGTTCACTCCAATCAACCCCACATATGTACTGTAGATCTCAAATGTATTGA